CACACACACACACACACACACACACACACACACACACACGCACGCACACACACAAACACACAAAGACATGCAGAGACAAACCTCCTCCCTCGACTCTTACTCCAGAAATGTACCCATTCGTCAAAGCTAGCCGCATGCGGACGCCAGAAGCGACTGATAAAAACAGAGAACCAACTCAGGCGGACGAGCACGAATCGCCTCGCCTTCCCCCCCCCAACTACTCCCGCTCCCATCTCTGAAAACGTTGAAATCAACCTCAAATCTGACTGACACACACACTCGACTATTTAAAACTATAGTTATCTGTACCCGAGCCGAAATGAGGTATAGGGGGGGACGAGTTGACATCGAACCCACCAATCCCTCGATCGCCGGACGAAGAGGTACCACTCCCGCTCACCATAGCATCACCCTCTTTCGTTCCCGCCGAGCCTCCGCCGAGCCATCCCCCTAGCCACGACCCGCTCTTCTTACTGGACCCCGATGACGACGAAGACGCACCGCTCGCAGACGAAGAGGGGAAAGACGAGGAGGAGGAGGAGGAGTTCCCCGCGCCATCCAATTGAATCTCACTCGCGCCATACAAATTGCTGTTCCCGCCAATCGTTCCCGCGCTTGCGCTTGCGCTGGCCATGGAGGGCAGCCCTGACGTTGCCGGAATACCGCCGCCGCCTCCTCCTCCTACTCCCGCCGCAGCGTATCCTGGAATCGGGGCCCCTCCCGACAGAGCTGGGCCTGGGGAGTACATCGGCGCTCCCATCCCGACCCCGGCCGGGGGCACCTGCTGCCCCATCTGCTCCTCTGGCGGCGGCAGTTGGGACAACAACCTGTTAAGAAGGATGCCGGTCCCCTCAATGAGCGCGAGGATGGCCCCGCCCATTACCGCGGCTTTGCCTGCGGACTTGAGTCCTTGGCGCAGCTGTAGGGAAGCCCCCGCCGCTGCGCCCGCTGCTATTGCGTTCCACGGATCCTCCTTCTTCCTCAGATAAACGAGAGTGCAGTCGAAGCTCGCAAACAGCGCCCCCCAATTTGCAAAACTACCCCCAATTCGAGGGGCATTCATGCGAACAGCCGACACGCCGCCGCCGAATCGCTCGCCACGTGGCGAGTTCTTCATGCCTCTCAAGAAATGCCACGCGGAGCCGCCCAACACACCCATACTGAAGGCCGTCCCGATGTCATCCAGGATGCGATCGGGACAGGGGTCACGACCGTGATCGACCCCCGACATCGCTCGCGCTTGTGATCGATCGGTGATTGATTGTTCGATTGATTGCTTACTTCCTCCCCACCGATCACAACAATGATTGATTGATTGATTGATTGATTGGTATTTTCCACCAATCAACCAATCAATCCACAACCGCACCTCCTTCAGGTCAAGAAGATTTGCTCCGTACGACTTAACACGACAGCGTTGAAAATATATTCCCCCCGCGCGTCTCCGCTCCGCTACCGCCCCCGCCGCCCCCCCCCCCGGGGGCTTCTTTCCCCCCCCCCCCTCTCCCCCCCCGCTTACAAACGAATTCCGTTGCGTTAGGGAAGGAAAGGATTCCAAAAGATTAACTTCGTTGACCAATCATTGGAGGACAATCAAACTGTCGTAGTCAAACTAATCAGATCCTTGGTCGGCATCATCTAGATCAACTAATCAGATCCACTCACCCGAGGAAAGTGGAATCGAAATCAATCACCTCCTCTCCTTTCGCATTGCGACCAGCCTGTTCGTTTCCCTCTCTCTCTCTCTCTCTCTCTCTCTCTCTCTCTCTAACACACACACACACACACACACACACACACACTCACCTGCGAGCTGAACCCCACGCGACAGAAGCTGCTTCTCGAAAACTGCACACGTCCGTTGCCATGACCTTGTCTGCGCCTTCAAGGGCGTCCGTTCTTCTTAATAGCCCTAAAACGTATACGATCAGCTGAAAATGCACATTCGGATATTATACGCATACACGACCAGACGCACGCTGGTTGATCGCCGACCAGCACTCTGCTTTTGACCACGTGGCTGCTTCCGTGTGGGCGGTCCTTGGTCTACCGCTCACTCGCCACGTGAACAAAGCGCGCGCAGGCGCTCGCGGTCCGTCTCCGCTAATGGGCCGCGCTGGCCAGCGGGACAGGCGCGCAGAAATGCGCAGAGAGACGCCCAACGGAGAGAGAGAGAGAAAGAGAGGAGGGGATCTTCGGAGAGAGAGGCCTTCCCGCCGTGTGGTGTGGGGGTATGCGCGCAACAGAGCACACCCCTTTCGTCGGTAGTCGTGTGAACGCAACGACGGATTCTGGCGCCCCACACCACGCCCCGCCGGGCCAACCCCGGGGGCTGATGTCCCCTACCAGTCTGTTTTTTGCTCTGCGCGTATTCACAGTAGACGTCCCCTGAATGTCGCGTTTACGTCCAGATTCATTCAATCCATGTAGAGTCCTTTCGGTAGTCGTGTGAACGCAACATACCCTACGATCCCTGGGCCGAAGACCACCTACCCTTCTCCCCTCCTCTCTCTCTTTCCCCCTTCTCTTCCCTCCCTCCGCCCCACCCTTCCTGACTACTGCACTCGCATCAGCCGTAGATTTCGAAGAGAGATGACACCCCCACGTCGCAAGAGGAATGCAGAGATAACAAACCAATTAGTCCCCTAATCAGTCCCCTAATTAGTCCCCTAAGACCAATCAGCCAAGTCAATTACTGGACGAGCAGTAGTGCCAATAGACGGATAAGCCTGCCGCGATAAGTACAGCAAAAATAAACCCGCCGGAAAGACTGCCACGTGTATGCAATGCTAACGCATCAGATTACGTCCACGTGTCCGCACGAGACTACTCGTTGCTCGATCGGATCAAGAGTAGACAGGTGTGAGCGGTCTCTACGCTCTCGCTCAAATCACCCTAACCTGTCGCCACCTCCCTTTCTCCCGCAATGAACCCAATCTGGGCCCCCTTCCCCCCTTGCGCCTGCGCCGCCTCTCTTCCTCTTCTTCGTGTCGTACCCCTGAATTGGCGCGCAAGCTAGTTGCCTATCCTACCCCACTGTGTATAGGCCACGGTTATACGTTTCAGCAGCAGCTGCGTACACGTGGCAGCGGCAGAGAGATCACTCCCTCTCCCAGTTTGTATACCCCACGCTCACGTTTCAGCGGCAGCTGCGTACACGTGGCGGCAGAGAGATCACATAGCTCCCGTTCCGGCGGCCGCGCCTCTCTGGCCGCCACGTGGAGCTTCTTTCCCGGCTTGCTGACGTGTTCCCTTCCCGCCGTGATGACGTGTTGCTGTTCGACTCAACTTGCTGACGTGTATTTTCCGCCTCCTTTACCCTGCCACCGTGGCGGCGCGACAGCTCGACAAAACGGAGCCACGTGCGCAGCAACAACAGTAATTAAAAAAAAAAAAGACGGCCGTGCACTTCGGTCCTCTAAGAGGACCGCGCCGCGGACGAAGCACTGTGTGTGTGATGATCCTCTCTCTCTCTCTCTCTCTCTCTCTCTCTCTCTCTCTCTCTCTCTCACTCACTCTCTCCCACCCCGCCCACGCAGAGCTCGTTCGTGCAGCTCCGCCGCACTTTGGTTGGCCCCGGCCTCGCTCCACCGCTCGCTAGATGTGATGACAATTTGCCTTGCATCTGGCCAGTATTCGTAGGCAGATTCATCCGCATCGCGACGCGAGAAAGAGAGAGCAAGCCGTTTCCTGACCGCAACAACGCCAATCTGCTACTCGCGTGTAGCCCCGCTGAGCCCAAATAGAATAAAATAAAATAAAATACAATAAAATAAAAAAACGCATCGCCAAGGTGGGACCACAATAGGAAAAATCTCTGAAATTTTGCCGTCCGATCGCGAGAATTTGTGGTGAAAGATATGAGGCTCCCAGTTCAAAACATCCTACGTGTACCTGGCCAGCAATGAGGACTCCATACATTGAGACTGATTCGACATTTTGAACGTATCGGGACCATTTACGAGCCTACGAACATTTATAATGTTGTGTAGACTACGTAGTTATCCAGCCGGACAGCAAATCCGCTCCTGAAAAAAAGAGGAGAGAAAAGGGCGGCGGCCCTGAGGTGTCATCATCGAACTGACCTGCCCCACGTAAGTAACTCAGATTTTTTTTATTTTTTTTATTTTTTTAAGTAACTCAGATTAACCGAGGTCAGTAACAGATTTAACCGGGGCCAGTAAATCAGATTTGACCGAGGTCAGTAACTCGGAGTTCATCACCAACGGGCCTATAGCGCAGCTGGTAAACCCAATAGAACCCGTGTTCAAGTCCAGGTGCAGTAAGTCAGTTTAACACAATAACAACTTACTGAATTACCGTTGCCCTTTTCAGAAAAAAAAACAAACTCAGAGCAAAGCGGGATTCGAACTCTTGTCTTCCTCTCTTTTCCCCAAAAGGAAAAAAAAAAAAACTCTTGTCTCTGCACCCGCAGTTCGACGAACCTGGTCGCCATCGCGGAGACCTGGTCGCCATCGCGGAGACATGGAGGTATGGGCCTCGCGCCATTACTGTCGACATGCACAAAAGACAAAAAAATCACATGGCGGTGTATCTTTCCATGTTCTGGCTAGAGATTCACTCTCATTTTGCACACACATTTCGAGACGAGAGTTGTGGAGCGCTGTGGCGCCGGCCCTATGTGTGTGAGGGCCTGTAACGGATGATGCCTTTTTTTTTTTTTTTTTTTTTGGGATTTGATGATGCCTTAGTACGCGCCGCCGCACTGCGCGCTGCTGTGGTAGGAGCGTAGGGGCCTCGATCCACTACTCATTTTATTTTTTTTGTTTTAGTAAGCTATATTCTTCTCTCATAAAAATGTGCCAAACGAGAGTGAATCTTCCGCTAAAACAATGGAAAGATACATCGCAATGATTTTTGTCTTTTGTGCATGTCGAGAGCGGTAATGGCCTGGCTTCACCCTTCACCAAATGTGCAGAATGATAGCGAACTTTCCCGTAGAACATGGAAAGATACACCGCCATATTTATTGTTTTTTTGTGCACGTCGTGAGTACTGGAGCGAGCCCCTCACTTACACGTGGCCCTCACAACCACGTTCGGAATGGACATCTGCCTCGGAGCTTTCTCTTTTTTCTTTTTTTTCTTTTTTTTTCTTTTCCTTTTTTTCTTTTTTTTTCCTTGCCTCGGGGCGAGGTTCGGCGCCAACCACGTTTCATTCCGTCAAAGTAATAAAATTTCCCTTGGAGGCGACGGAGAAAAAAGAAAAAAGCAAAAAAAAGAAAAAAGAAAAGAAAAAAAAAGGCGCGCCGCCGATGGGCCTTCAGATGCGCTTTGGTCCCTTCTGCCCCGCCACTGTGCAAATGTGATAAAAACAATCTCTAGGGTATACGGTATGGGCGTTGCTCCACTACTCTCGGCAAGCACAAAAGACAAAAATCATGGCGGTGTATCTTGCCATGTTCTAGCAGAAGATTCATTCTCGTTTTGCACATTTCGAGAGTAGCGGAGCGAAGGGCTATCTCTCTCCACATTTTTCCTCACTCATTTTCTGATCTGTATTCTTGAGAGACTGTCAGTCCGTAGATCATGGGCCTGGGGGCAGGATAGGTACACTCAGTGGCTAGATTCATATGAGGCCCTTCTGTGGGACGTCTGTGGGACATCCGCCAGCCGTTGCTGCATCGAAATCCGAGGGTAGCAAAATAAAGATGTTTGTATATTTAAAATTTGTGCTTCTTGTTGTTGTTTTTTTTGTTGAATAACAGGATGTGGGGAAAAGAAATAGCAAGTCTGTTTTTGATTGGTGGTTGTCCAAAACAAAAAAAAAAATCAAGTACTCTTAAGTCGTTCCTCACTAGGCAGTCCCGTGGGGCACACTAAGGGACTCGCTCATCTCCCATGGTTGGGCGTTGCCGCCATCCAAGACGGCTAAACATCCAAGACGATTGGATGACTCAAGATCCCACTGGCAAAAACGATTGGAATAAGTGTCTGAACCTGCTCACTTTTGTGGACAAGTGCAAACAACTGTGACTGAAACTTTTCTGCATATCTGCGTGGAAAACGTCCAGATTCAGACACTTGTTCCAATGCTCTTTGCCTCTCCCATGGTAGGGCTTTGCCGCCATCCAAGACCGCTAAACATCCCACCGGCAAAAACGATTGGAGTAAGTGTCTGAGCCTCCTCACCATTTCTTTTAATCCATTATGCCTTTTAAATTTATTTATTTCTCTTTTCTCCTCGTGTCGCACAGGTCCAAATAGTCCATGACTCGTTTGCTAGTGGAACCGTGCCCAAGGAGTATGAGTAGTGGTAGGTAGGTAGTGTGAGGAAAAAAAATTGAGAGAAGAGTATAGTTTTGTAAAAAAAAAAAACAAGGAGTTGGGAGGTGAGGTTGACATGTGGTGTTTGCAGCCACAAAGCTGCGAAAAGCACCACCTGTCTGCCTACCTGTGTGACCTGTGTGACCGTCTATCCAGAGATAGACAGTGGCACCCATCCGTCTATACAGAGATAGACATGGCACGCATGGATGGCTATAGGACTCCGTGGTGGGAATCTTATTCCCATTGACTTACCGTGAGGGCAATCTTATTCCCATTGACTTACCGTGAGGGCACGGGTGCACAGTCCGTAGTTCCTTTGTTTATGTGGTTCGGGAAGGGTAAGGTAGTGTCATGTTCGCTATACACAACTCGAAGAGAGTGTGTGTGTGGGGTCCCTGTTGGTGCTTTATTCATGATGTTCATGGGACGCTGGACCTAGTTTCCAGCAGGTGGCGCTCCCCATCAATAGGCAGGAGAATGTATGTGTGTGTATGTGTGTGTGTATGTGTGTGTGTATGTGTGTGATGATGTGTGTGATGATGTGTGTGATGATGTGTGTGAACACATATTGCGGACACTTCTGCACAGTAAAAGCCATGCACCATACCATCGCAACACTTCAGGAGGAGAATATGCATCTGAGTGGAGTCGAGTCCAAAGGCAAGGAAGGGAGAACAACGAAACACACAGGCCACAGACAACAAGACAACACATAGGCTGGAGGGCATGGGGGAGGAGGGAGGGAAGACAACACGCCAGCAACGGGCACGAGGGATATAGGACGGCAGACAACAACAAGCACAAAAGGCAGGCAAATCAGAAAAAAGTAAAGTCCATTAAAGTTTCAGAGCCTGAAAAAAATAAAATAAAAACTGATGATGAAAGATTGTTTCGTCGGAGTTGCACCGACTCGTCAGGAGGCTGAACCCTCGATAATCTGCGGGAATCTCCGTATTGGATGGTTTGGGTCATGAACCCTTTGACCCTTGTTGAAGGCAGACTGTCCCCAAGCGGAACATAGCAGCGGGCGACGACCCTGTGGAGCACCAGGCAGCACAGTAGAGGCAACACGGCTGCACAACGCCAAAAACGACTGCAAGGAAAGACATAGCACGCAGCGCGGAAACACGGAAGGCACGGCCAGCGGATGGGCAGCAAGGCAGCGGAGCAGCAAAGCATACGGCAACGCCGACAACACGGCCACACCACACAGCGAACACAGCAACTTGCAGAGAACAACATGCAAAGCAAGGGGGACAGTTAGCAAGGCGGCGGTGGTGCACAAACGAGGCAGTCCACATATCCAACACGGAGCAAAGCAGCGCATGACCTACTCACATCACGATTGAACCCTGTAGACTGTTAGTTCCCACCACCCACTGAGCCAGGGAGTCACTCCGACGACCATCCATCATCACCTACAGGCAACACAGACATCCCGAACTGAGCGGCCCCCATAAGAATGCAGTAGGCACTCCAAACGAGGAACCACCGACTGTTTGGCACTACTTAAGGGTGCTCAGTTTGGGCAAGCAAAAACGCTTAGAAAAGATTAGGGGGAGGACAGACAACAACAAGAAAACAGATGAACATACAACTGACTGTGTGTCTATGTGAGAGAGAGAGAGAGAGACCATGTGTGTGTGTGCGTGTGTGTGTGTGTGTGTGCTTGTGTGTGTGTGTGTGTGTGTGTGTGTGTGTGTGTGTGTGTGTGTGTGTGTGAGAGAGAG